TTCTGTAGTACTTTAAACCAAATTCTAGGATAATATTTTTTAAAAAACAAGGCCATGTTGAATGTCATTGCATGTCTTTGTTCCCATGTCACTGTTTGCAAGGTTAGCATATCTTTCTAATTCAGTCTGAAAGAGGAATGGCAAAAATGCACTCTTAAAAAATTAATAAAGTAGAGAAAATTCTTAGTTTGGTATACTTTTTCCTATAGCATAGTTTCAGTCTCCCTCTCCCTCCCTCCCTCCCCCCCCCTCTCTCTGTGTTTGGATAGATAGATAGATAGATAGATAGATAGATAGATAGATAGATAGATAGATAGATAATATAAATTACATGATTATCAAAAATAATTTATGTGGTTGACTTAAATGAAATAATGACAAAATCAACATTTGAAATATGTTTAATCTTAACTTCTCAAATATAATTCTATTCCTATTAATGATTTATCACTCCTAAAAAAAGAATGGGGACCTATTATTACATAATTAGATAGATAGATAATTTTATTTCTATACTGCCCCTCTCCCGAAGGACTCGGGGTGGTGCACAGCCAAGTAAAAAACACAATACAAATCCCAATTAAATTTAAAAATTATTAAGATTATTACATTTACGGCCAAGATTCATTAAAAACCCAAAAATTTAAAACTCCAAATTTAAAACATTCAATAATGTTTACTGAATAAACATTACTTATAATGAACAAGCAATCAATTAAACTACAGAAACAAATGCATTCTGTGTTGTATAGATAAAAAAGCAGAATAAAGGTGCTGGAAGTTCAAACTAGTTCTGTTCTCATGTTGTTTTTCCAGGGGTGAAATGCTCCTGGTTTGGACTGGATCACCCGATCCGGTAGCTATAGTGGTTGGTGGTTCGGAGAACCAGTAGCAAAAATTCCTGCCTTCCCCCCATGCCCAGCTGAGCAATGCAATCATCAGAGGCTTTTTAAAATTATTTTTAAAAGCATTTTTTCTACAACCTCATTGGCTGAAAAAAATGCTTTTAAAAGTTAAAAAAAAAAAGCCTCTGATGATCGTGCGGCTCAGCTGGGATCGTCAAAGGCTTTTAAAAGCATTTTTTTTAAAAAAAGAAAAGCCTCTGACAATCAAACAACTGGGATCATCAGAGGCTTTTAAAAGCATTTTTTTTACAACCTCTTTGGCCAAAGAGGTTGTAGAAAAAATGCTTTTAAAAGGCTCTGACGATCCCAGCTGAGTTCCCTGATCGTCAGAGCCTTTTAAAAGCATTTTTACAACTTCTTCAGCCAAAGAGGTTGTAGAAAAAATGGTTTTAAAAGTAAAAAAAAAAAAAAAAAGTTGGCACACCCACCCAGTCACATTATCCCACCACCAAGCCACGCCCACAGAACCAGTAGTAACAAATTTTACATTTCACCACTGTGTTTTTCAGTTATCTTTTCAAATAATATTATTTTGAATTGTTTTGTATCATTATAAATTATCCTGAGAAACCAAAGGTTGGATTGAAAGGAACTGCCAGTGACAACAGTATTGTCCAGAGAACTTAAATGCCAAAAGTAATGCAACTCATTCTTGTGAGAGAAAATGCTATTGTCATGGCCCAATATTGAACAAATGTCATTTAGTTTTAATCCTATTTCTTTTACATGATTTGTGTACACTATATTTTATGACCTATTTTATATCTGTTTTATTGGCTCAGTGTTGAATGTTGTAAGTCTATCATTTGTAGGTACTTCTGACACAAAATAAATAAAGTCCTGAGGAATGAATATACTTCATTCTGATCAAAGTATAATATAAACTAAAGTCGATCATAAGAAAAAAAAATTCCCTGAGTTGTAAATTGGAGGTTCAATAATACAGTTAATTGAAGCTTTTTAACTACTTTATTTATTTTTATGTTATTTATTTACTTGTCAAACATGTATAAGATAACAGATATAAGTATAAACATGATTATGCATACAGGAAATGGATACAAATAAATGGGGACAGTAGGACAGGAATGGTAGGCACATTGGTGCTCTTATGCATGCCCTTTACAGACCTCTTAGGAATGGGGTGAGGTCAACAGTAGACAGCCTAAGGTTAAAGTTATGGGGGTTTGGGGGAAGTAACCACAGAGTCAGGAAGAGCATTCCAGAGATTGACCACTCTGTTGCTGAAGTCATATTTTTTGCAATTGAGTTTGGAGTGGTTTACCTTAAGTTTGTATCTATTGTGTGTTCGTATATTATTGAGGTTGAAGCTGAAGTAGTCATTGACAGGTAGGATAATTTTGTGTACTATGCTTAGGTCAGACCTTTTTGTCTTGTTGATTGAAAGAAAAGGAGGAAGAAACATGGAATATCACACAATTCTTCTATTCTGAAAATCCTTCCTTTTTATAAGTATTAGAGAATATGAACCTCCTTGTTTATATATTTATTTGAACTATTATTAAACTATATATTTAATCTGTATCAATCTAATATTTTTAATGTGTAGGGGAGTTTATAAAAAATTGCTAGATAAACAGTCTTCATTTAAAAAGGGATGAAGGAAAGAAGGAAGGGGGAAGGGAGGGAGGGAGGGAGGAAAGACTTAATGCTATGTTTGTAATAAATGAGAATTGTTTACTACATTGTGATACTACAATGATATTTAAAATAGATTTTACTTTCATTCCTACTTCAGGAGGATATATAGGTATCCTAATTTACTTGAAAGTGAACAATCATCATCATCATCACCATCATCATCATCTATAAAAATTATCATATGCCATTAATAAAAAAAATGATGCATAAAACCAAGAATGAAAACCTCCTAAAATCAAAACCAGCATGATGTTGTGGACATAGTACTTAGATATCAACAAAGCATTTGACAAAGTAGACCACAAGCTACTTCTTGGTAAACTAGAAATATGTGGGCTAGGCAGTATCATCACCAGATGATGACTGACAAACCATACTCACTGAGTAGTCCTTAATGACACTACATCTACATGAAGGGAAATAAACAGTTGGGTAGCACAAGGTTCTGTCTTAGGCCCAGTACTCTTCAATACCTTCATATATGACTTAGATGAGGGAATAAAAGGGGAACTCATCAAATTTGCAGATGACACTAAACTGGCAGGAATAGCCAACACTCTAAAGACCAGCTCAGGATCCAAAAATATCTTGACAGAGTTGAACAATGGGCCCTACCCAAGAACTTGAAATATGAACAGTGTTCATAGTCAAATGCAAATGTTATTTTATATGAGGTTGTGATTTTAATATGCATCTTTTTTTTCTTTCAGCTGACACATTCCCTCTTGGTAATTAACTTTAACAAATGGCAAATCAATCATTCATCTCTCAATTTCTGCTCCTTGAATTCTCAGTAATCCAAGAACTGCAAATTGCACATTTCTGTTTATTTCTGACTTTATATTTAGTGACCATAATAGGGAATCTTCTTATCTTTTCTGCAGTAGTTTTGAGTTCCTAGCGTTGGCTTTGACTTTAACTTGTAACCTTTTTATATCTTAATAATGATTTGTGTTTCTTTATTTTACAATATTACTATTTTACTGTTATTGTATTTTGTGTGATTATAACAAACAATAATACATAATCTATCTATTATCTATCACCTACCTATATCTAGCCATCTATATATTAATATATTTTAACTAGATAAATATTAAATGGACTATTAAATGGACTATTCAGACCTTTAATATTAACTAAAAATGGTTTAAATTTATTTTAGCCACCCTTTTCAGAAAAGCCAATCAGTTGGTCCAAGTTATGATCTCTTAAGTCTTTTTCCATTACAAATAAAAACTTGGCGTTCTTCATCGCTTTATCTGAGGTATACACAGAAGCATCAATGTATCCCAGACAACTCCTGGACAAAATGGAGTATCCATCTGCATCTTTTATCTTTTTAATTTTTGAGAAACATCCCCCTTTGCAATGATTTTGTTTTGTTTTGTTATAAAATAATTGACTGTGGCCATACTTTTTCAAATTGATAATGTTTACAAAGGAAAAAAAACAAACTAAAATTGTTATGAATAGTTATAGAGATGCAACAGCGGGAATTTTACGGTGAATGTACAATAAACTTACTTTTGATATTTTAAAAAAGAACAGGTAAAAAATATTTACCAGTGGTAAATCAGCCATAAGGATAAAATATGCCTTTTATGAGGAAAAAAAAAAAAGATCCCTCTTTTAGACGAATGACTAATCAAATTGTGGAAGAAAACCTTCATATGCAGAAGCATTGCAAAATAGCTGCTAGAAATAAAAAATTTCATCCCCCTTTTCCCTTTTCAGAGTTCATAGCATGAAATAATGTTTCCAGTAATTTTAGTTATTCTTCATCTTTTTTTCCCCTGATATACAATGCATTGCCTACAACCAAAAATCTCCAAAACTCTTTATCTTAAAAACAGAAGATTACAGATACATAAAAGCAATTCTTCTACAAACTTTCTGTACATGTAGCAGTATTTTCTCTCTTAATAGCATTTCTAGACATACAAATTTGATTAGAAGGAATGAATCATAAAATGTGTGATTGTTTTAAAAATAATACATTACAAAAGAGTATATCAAAGCCACAGTATGGCAAAAAGGCTTTTATAAATTATAAAATATATATGTAAAATGCATATATAACTAGAAGGATAATCAAATATATATGTTTTGTATGGCAATTTAAATAGTAATGAAAAAGTGACATTTTTCATTTAAACAAAAAGACATAACTAATTTCTTTGTGTTTATTGTTTAGCTCTATTTCTTTACAGTCATAAAATTTAATGCTAAATGCTTCTGTAAAACCAAAATTTAATTAACTAGCTTTAATGCTACATACCATTTTATAGTTCCTTTAATTTCACAATGAGAAAAAAAAATCTAACCCCTGAATCAAAATCATCATTTTTTTCTTCATTAATAGGAATATGACCTTTTCAATCACAGAAGTTCAGTTATATTTCAAGAATTTCAGGAAATTGAAAGTACACACTAAAATACACATAACTGAAAATATTTCTGTAAGGTGTGGGGGAAAAAACAGAGAATCAGCTTCCAGAATGCTATTTTGAGTTCCTTGTTCCTCATGCTATAAACCAATGGATTCATGACTGGTGGCATCACACAGTAAAACAAAGAAATCAAGATATTTGATGTCGATTGGGAGCTGGATGTGGGTCTCATGTATGCAAAGGTACCACATGCCATAAACAAACAAATGACTATGAGATGAGGTAAACAGGTAGAGAAGGCTTTTTGCTTCCCTTGAGTAGATGGGATTCTCAAAACTGTTCTAAAGATCTGAACATAAGAAAAAGCAATTAGACCATAATAAACAAAACCTAAAGAAGAAGCAAAGATAAGTGCCTGTTCTACTGCAACATAAAACTTAGAACAAGAGATCTTGAGTAATTGAGGAATTTCACAGAAGAACTGATTGATGATTCTAGAACAGAACTCCAGTGTAACTAAATTTCCCATATGGAGCATTGACCAAAACAAGGCACCCATCCATACAGTGGTTGCCATTTGGATGCAGGCTTTTTTGTTCATTATCATCTCATAATGCAGTGGCTTGCATATGGCTACATAACGATCATATGCCATGACACCCAGAAGAAAGAAATGAGACATGATGAAAAAAACAAAGAAGAAAACCTGGCAGAGACATCCAGAGTAAGTAATTGCTTCAGTGTTCATCAAGGAATTCAGCATAGACTTGGGAACTGTAACTGAGATGGAGCCAAGATCTTGCAAGGATAGATTGACTAGAAAAAAATACATGGGTGAATGGAGTTGATGGCTATAAACAATGACAGTGATGATGATGAGATTTTCAATGATGGCTACCAAATAAATTATTAAAAAAACAACAATATGGATTATTCGTAGTTCTTCAGTATCAGGGAATCCATGCAGAAGGAATTCACTAATTCTTGACTCATTTTCCATTCTTTTTGATTTCAGAAGTTATAATAGGAGCTTTAATCTAGACCCTTTCCATGTACCTTTGGCAGTATTCATGGTGCAATGAAATGCTCTTCAAACAATATTTTTGATGCAAAAGTGCTAGATAAAAACAGAGGTTTATCTTTGGGATGTTTGTAATTATCCTCAGGGAGCTCATTTCTCAGGAGCCTAATTTACTTTAGCAGCCCTAGATCCATGCAGGTATGTGAAAATTTGGTTAGAGATGTATTCATACTGCTTTTAATTACATGGCAAATGCTAATTTTTCAGATTAGACTAAACTAGACTAGACTAGACTAGACTAGACTAGACTAGACTAGACTAGACTAGACTAGGACTTTGGAGGACTTCTAGTCCAATCACCTTCTTGAGTAGGAGACCTACACCATTTCAGACAAATGTTGTCCAGTTATTCAGTATCTTTCTGAAAGCCTGTAGTAATAGAGCACCCACAATTTTTGGAAGCAAGCTATTCCATTGGTTACTTGATCTTACCTTTAGAAAATTTCTCTTTAGTTCTAGGTTGCTTCTCTCCTTGGTTAGTTTCCATCTATTGTTTCTTGTCTTGCCTTTTGGTGCTTTGAAAAAATAGTTTGACCCCTCATCAAAGTAGGAGCCCCTCAAATAGTGCAGTACAAGATAATTTCAGTTTAATAACTTCAGTTGAAAAACAAAAACAAAAGCAAATTACATAATTGTTTTTGTTTGTTTTTGTTGTTTTGATTAAATATTCAAAGTTGGATATAAAGAGCTGTACTAGTGCATAGAACTAGGATAAAAAGAAGGAATGTTTAAGAAGAAATGTATATTACTCCAGGTAACATCTACACAATTTTTAAAAACTAAGCACATATTATTAAAAATAGTTAATTCATTAGTATTTATTTGATCAAATACCAGCAAACTTTTGAATAATGAAACCTATTAGGAAAGATCCAACTGCAAACTAAGGAGAAATTTCCTGATACATTATCAGGTTTGATTTTAAACTATTTTTTCACATTAATATATGACATGAGTCAGGATGCTTATTACTTTCAAAAAAAAAAAAAGTTGTGTAATGCACTGGATAATAAAAACAGGGGTGGGATTCTACCAGTTTGCACCGGTTCAATAGAACCGGTTGTTAACTTTCTAAGCAGTTCAGAGAACTGGTTGTTAGAAGAAATCTCCTTTTCTTTTTTTCCACTTTACAGGGTTAATCCTGTAAGGAATTACAATGTTCTGGTGTTGTTTCTAGCCTAATTTTTATTGCCCTGTTTACAGAAACTGCCTCTTTGTTAACCCTTATTACATTCTTGGGAATACACCTAGATTAACTGTCACCTCCAGAGCTTCTCCAGAGTTTTTTTCTTTTCTTTGCTTGATTTTCTTAAAGGGGAAAGGTTGTTTTAAGCTTTTTACACTGCTATTGGGAGGAAATACTCCCCTGTTGGAGTTCTTCCAGCCAGGATGCAACGATCAGCACTTTGAAGAAATAATTGCACAATGAAGCAGAGCAAGAAGCTTTTAAGGACAAGGAATCCAGATGAGTGACATTCAGCAAGGCTTCTTGGCTAGCTAAAAAGATTGACATTCAAATGTGAGTTTACATACCCTTTCTGACTTTTGGTCTAAAACTGGTTTTTGGTGTTTAATTGTGTGCTTGGTGATGTTTAATCATGTGTTTATTGATGGCATAATTTTCCCTAATCAGCTTTGTTTGGAAGGAAAAAGATTAATCTCTGTTCCTGAAAAGAAGCAGTTTCAGAAATCTGGCTAGTTCCCGAGTCTATTTGTTCTGGTAATTGGTTTAACAAGCAACAGCTACTGTGTTTGCTCCTTTGCTTCATTCTGGAGAGCTTAAATGACCTCTCTGCTAAAGAGTTTCACTTTATGAGCAAGAGTTGGCTGCTGATAGTTATCATTGCATTTTTACTATTTTAATTCCTCAAGGTGCTCTGGCTCCTTGCCTGATTTGTAACTCCATCTTGCAGGTATTTCTAATTTAATGATTGGTATTTAGGACAACTTTTTGCAAGCAAAGAAGCTTTTTGTATTTTTGTACAGGTAATCTTTGATTTACAACAGTTCATTTAGTGACCATTCAAAGTTACAGTGGCACTGAAAAAAATGATTTATAACCATTTTTTACACTTATGACCGTTGCAGCAAACTGTCATTAGGGCAAAGAAGTGATGTTGAGTTGGTCACGCCCATACGGTCACATGACCACCTGGCCACGTCTACTCGGTCACATGAAGCACCACAGTTATGAAATGTGTGACATGGTTGTTAAGAATGATGCAACAGGCATAAATCATGACCGGTCATAAGTGCAAGGACCGGTCAAAAGTGTGAGGACCGGTCAGAAATCACTTTTTTTCAGCCCTCTGAGTAGTCCCTATGCATGTAGCCATGGCCACCCTGTCACATGACCACCAAGCCAAGCCCCCAAATAAGCCAAACCCACAGAACCGGTTGTTAAAAAATTTAAATCCCACCACTGGATAAAAATCCTTAGCCAAACAAGTATTTCTTGGCTTTTAGGTTGGCTTTTCACCAGCATACTTTCATAAGCACTATTTAACCAGGTCTTTTTTGTATTAAATACACAAGCTAAGTTTTCTGAAGTAATATAAAGCCATATGTACTCATTCAAACATACATTTATATTTAAAACTTTAAATATTTTCAATGCAAATTTTCTATCACCTCATGTTTGAAATTAAATATTGCATGAAAGTTGGAGTAACCTAATTTTATAGGGTTTTTTTTCAGTTGTATCATCTGCTTCCAAGATAAATCAGCATCTGAAATTAACTATAATAGATCCATATGCAGGATCCAAAGCTTTCATAGCAATGAAGATAACAATGTCACACCACTGTGACACAGGTTCCAATACTTTTTAAGGGAAAATCACAATGTATTACTTTGTACATTTTAATATTTTAAGTGGTTTTGGTACTTTAGAAAGCAGGGGTGAAATCCAGCAGGTTCTGACAGGTTCTGGAGAACTGGTAGCGGAAATTTCGAGTAGTTTGGAGAACCGGCAATTACCACCTCTGGCTGGTCCCAGAGTAGGGTGGAAATGGAAATTTTGCAGTATCCTTCCTCTGCCATGCCCATCAAGCCACGCCCACCAACCCATACCACACCCACCAAGCTACGTCCACAGAACCGGTAATAAAAAAAAAATGGATTTCACCACTGTTAGAAAGGTGATGATTGAGGAGACATTTTTGATCAATTTTATCTTTTTGTAATCTTTGAGCTAATATAGACAGTTACTTGACTATTGTAATTAATAGACACATCAACCAGAAAGTAAACATTTCTCTCTGTGCTCTCATTATTCATTTACATTAACTTTCTGAATAAATCCCCCAGGAATAAAGTTTTGGGCTCTGTTGAACTATTAGGAACGTGTTTTGACAAACATAACACTTATATTTATAATAATATGTGTGCCATAGTAACTACTTGATATACAAATGCAGAAAAACCTTTTGATTGTTTGAAGGAGAAAAAGATAGGAGGGGATCATATGTAGCATATATGGCTTCACAAGTGAGCAACAGAACACATTGCTTTGAAGTGACCCAAAGCTAGAGAAGAAAATTCCATCTGAAAATAAAATATTTGAAGAGAGAAAGTAAGATTTATGTTTTAATAATTTTATTGATAAACTGCTTATTGTTCTTAGAACAGAATGAAAATAACTTTGTACTCAATTGTTTATAAAATATGTGAATAATGTATTTATATACCATTAACATCTGATATATTTGTGTAGAGTTTTTCTGTAGATTATTTCATTATTTCTCCTGAGGCCATATGTTATACCTAATCTACATATATAGGATTTATCGTGTCAAATAAATGTCACCAAACAAATTGAATCTCCTTCCCAATGCTTTGTACTGTGTAGCTTTGCTGATGACTCTGGCCAATTCTGGACAGTATATGAATATTATGGAATGTCAAAACAGTTTACCGTAAAATACAATTAAGTAGTAAGATTATTATCTTCAATGGATCTTGATGATATTCCCTTCCCTTCCCTTTCCCTTTCCCTTCCCTTCCCTTCCCTTCCCTTCCCTTCCCTTCCCTTCCCACAAAATAATCAACTTAAATAACAATGAAAAACAATTAAAGAAAAAAAGGCCTGAAATAAATTCAGAATGAGAAAATTTATGATTATGCACACATGTACATTGTAGCATTGTAATTCAGATAGGTAGTTATCTACCTATACATAAACATATACAGAGCTCCAAAATAATTCCCATTGCTTTATAGTTTTTTAAAAATATTCTTATATATTCAATTCATTTTTTTTCCATTACATACATTTCCAATATACTGTACAATATTTACAGTAATTATTAGTATAGTTGAAAGAATACTTCCTACAAGATTGTGTTAGATCAAGGAGGTTACAGATTCTAGAATTTTCTGCATTTTTCTTCTTAACAACATGTAATGTCTGATCAAAAAATATTGTTAATTATTTTATTAGTCGTTTACTAAGATATTCCTTATTCACACATTTATCTGATCTTGCATAAAAATCTTGAAAACATTCTTTGCTAATCAACCTCCAATACATATTTTTTCATGTCTCCCTCCATCCCTCCATCAGGTGTTCCAATGCAAATGGAATTTTATAAGAGGTTGTGATTTTAATATTTATCTTTCTGTTTTCTTGCAGCTGATGCATTTGCTATTGGTAATTAATTTTAAGAAATGGCAAATCAATCATTCATCTCTGAATTTCTGCTCCTTGAATTCTCAGCAATCCAAGAACTGCGAATTGCACATTTCTGTTTATTTCTGACTTTATATTTAGCAACCTTAACAGGGAATCTTCTTATCATCTCTGTGGTGGTTTTTGATTACCGTCTCCACACACCCATGTACTTCTTTCTAATGAATTTGGCCATCCAGGATATTGCTTCTGTTTCAGTTCTTATCCCCCAAATCATGATCAATTATGTGTTGAACAACAGATATATTTCTTATTCTGGATGTGTTGCTCAAGTCCTTTTCTTTATCTCCTTTGTAGGATGTGATGTTGCCCTTCTTACAGTCATGGGCTATGATCGCTATGTTGCCATTTGCAACCCTTTGCAATATGAACTGATAATGAATAGGAGAACTTGCAAGCAAATGGTTGGATGTGTATGGATTGCTGGTTTCCTCTATGGTGGGTTACATACTGGTGGCACTTTTGCATCACCTTTCTGTTCCAATATTGTTAATCAGTTCTTCTGTGAAATCCCACAGTTGCTTAAGCTTGCTTGCGCTGATTTATTCCTAGCTGAAATTGGAGCCCTAATTTTTAGTGCTCTAGCTGGGGTTGGCATCCTTATTTTCATTGTTGCTACCTATATGCAGATCTTCTCTGCTGTCTTGAGAATTCCTTCTGTTCAAGCAAGGAAAAAGGCATTGTCCACCTGTCTACCTCATGTCATTGTTTTCTCTGTATTTGTAACTATTGTCAGTTTTGCTTATCTTAGAACCCCACCTCAGAAACCTTCCCACCTGGATTTGGCAATAACTATAACATACTCAATTTTTCCACCCATGCTAAATCCATTGATTTATAGCTTGAGAAATAAAGAAATTAAAAATGCTCTATCAAAGCTGTTACATTTCTGAGAGTCTTCTAGGAATATCTTGCTCATTTTTGTATAGCTATGAATCTGTCATTATGTAGCATCTATATTAGGAAACTGATGTCAAATTTAATTTCAGCAATAACTGTCAGACATGAATAAAACTTTCATAAAATCTTATTAATTTACTTGACTGGTGTGTAAGGTTGAAATAAACATCTCTCTTTATGCATATATGTATATGTATGTGTGTATATGTTTGTTTCATGTATGAGTATATATTTATATCTATATATGTATATGTGCAGTGGTGGGTTGCTACCAGTTGTACCCGGATCGGCAAACCGGTAGCAGTGGCGGCAGGAAGCTCCACTCACCTGCACTGGACACAAACAAACAAATATATGGTATTTATGTAGTAAAACCTGAATGGATTTAATACATTTGTTTTAATATTCTCTTCAGAAAAATAGAGATAAAGAACTGTGTATTTCCATTGCTTAAAACAGCGGTAGCACTACAAGATAGAACATGGACTAATAGTATTTAAGGTACCTCGGAGGTCTTCTAGACCAAACCCCTACTCAAGCAGGAGACCCTTTATCATTTATGACAAATCGTTGTCCAGTCTCTTTTGAAAGCCTCAATGATGAGCACCCACAACTTCTGAAGGCAACCTGTTCCATTGATTGATTGATCTGACTGTTAGGAAATTTCTTCTTAGTTCTGTATTGCTTCTCTCCTTGGTTAGTTTTCCATCCATTATTTCTTATCTTGTCTTTTGATGCTTTGGAAAATAGTTTGACCCCCTCGTCTTTATAGGAATTTTTCAAATATTGGGACAGTTCTATCATGTCATCCCTAGTCCTTCTTTCCATTAGACTAAACATACCCAATTCTTGCAAACATTCTTTATATGTTTCAACCTCCAGTCACCAAATCATTTATGTTGCTGTTTTCTGCATTCTTTCCAGAGTCTCAACATCTTTTTTATATAGTTGTGACCAGAATTGAATGCAGTATTTCATTACTAGTACTAGTATTAATGGTGGTGGTATTGATGGTGGTAAAATTAGCAGTATTAATTGTATATCCATGTTAGGTTCAGCTTGTAGCTTACTCCTAACTTGTTGGTCAGGCAATATATCTGTTTCTTTAAGAAACAACTGAGCCACGTAATCAGGGTTTGCTGAACCCTGTAATTAGGCTACAGTGCATAAATAAGCAGCACAGAGAAGCGTTCCTTCTTCCTGAATGCTCCTGTTGCTTCCTGCGTCTTTCTGCTGATTGTTATATGGTACTGTATACCAAGAGTTACTAAAGTCTGTTTGCTTTGGTAAGGGAAGATACTTACTGGACTGATATTACTGTTTATGACCTTGGACTGTTTTACCTACACCGAGACTGCTTCTTATCTTGTATATAAAGTATTTTTCTCACACGAGCTGTACGTTTATCTCCTTCCCTGTGTGTTTCTGCTCTGCTCATTGCATACGCAACAAATACTTTTTACACACACCCTAACAATCCATATTAACTTTCTAACATACAAAATAGCTTATGAAAGATGATAGATAGTTTTAAAGGGGTGTCATACTCAATTTCATTGAGGGCTGCATCAGGATTGTGGATGCACTTGGGAGGCTGGGGTGTGCTTGGCTGGGGTTGGTGTGGCATGATAGTCATGGCTCATAGGGTGGGCAGGGCTGGGAGGACCAGGGCTGGTCAACTCAACATCACTTGCATTGGGGGACAGGACCAGGGTGGGTGCTGGGGTCTGATCACTGGAGGAGCCTCTCTGATCCTCTCAGGCTACATGAGGATCTGCCAGTGACCCTGGGTGGCAGGCACCCAGCCCTTGAGCTCCTAAAGCACCAGGACCCCATGGCCCAGCCCTGAGGGCAGACCCAGCTCTGCTTGCTTCTTCTTCAAGACTACTGTCACTGGGCTTGATCTCCTTGTGTGCGCTGAACTTTCCAGACTTGGGGGAGCTGAGGGGCAATGGGGCTCCTGCTGGAAGGGACTGCTGCTGCCATTGCTGTTGGCATGAGGTGAGGCAAGTTGAGGCAGGTGGTGGGGTATTGGCCTGACTGCAGGGCCCAGAGGTGCATGGGTAGAGGACATGTGGGACAACTCTGGGGCTGGGCTTGAGTGGGGCAGATTGGGAAGTGGTCCTGGCTGCCTCTTGGGGACAAGGGTTCCCCACACTTCTCATCATGGGTGGGGTGGTGGGCTGGAGGCTGATCCCATGTATGGCAGAGCTGGAGGAGAAGATTTGGATGGTGGGGGCGAACCCTGTGGTGGTGGCACTGGCAGCAGGCAAAGGCATAGGTGTGGAGAAGGCATGGGTGGCCATGTGGTCAATTTCCCCATCCCAACTGCAGTGGCCATGAGAAAACAGAAACAAATGGTGGGAGAAAGGCAGAGGCATAGGGGAGGAGGTATGTGATCCGATCCATTGGACGGCCTTGTGTTCGACATGTCTGCGCCAGAACATAACCATTCTATACATTTCCTCTACTTCTGCAATAAAATAGAACTAATAATGAATAGATATATTTTTCCTTTAAAAGAGCAGGAGTATGAAAGTTTACAACACAATTAGCATTCAGCAGCTAGATGCTGATTTGAGACAATAATAATCTATACCTAAATAAATATTTATTTGTTGTAAGCTTTCCAGTATTTTATTGAAGCATTAATTTAAAGCACTTATTAAAATATGCCAAACTTATAAAACTGGGTCAGGTATGGAAGGAATCTTGAAGATCAACTTCCAGAATGCCATTTTGAGTTTTTTGTTCCTCATGCTGTGGATCAGTGGATTCAAGACTGGTGACACAACAAAGTAAAACATAGAAATCAGGATTTCTGATGCTGTTGGGGAGCTGGATATGTGCCTCAGGTATGCAAAGTCACCACTGACCATAAATAGACAAAAGACTAGGAGATGAGGTGAACAGGTAGATAAGGCCTTTTGCTTCCCTTGGGTAGATGATATTTGAAAAACTCTTCTAAAAATCTTCACATATGAAAACACAATTACAGAAAAAAATAATGACCTCTAAACAAAAAATGATTAGTGTCCATTGTACTGCAACATAAGAGACAGAAGAAGACATTTAAAGCAACTGGACGATTTCACAGAATAACTGATTAATGATTCTGGAACAGGACTTCACTATAAATAAATTTCCTGTGAAAAATATTGCATAGAAAAGACCCACCCCATCTATGCACTGGTCGCCATTTGGATACAGACAGTTTTGGTTAGTACAGTCTCATAATACAGTGGATTGCAGATGGCTACATAACGATCATAGGCCATGACACCCAGGAGAAAGAAATGAGATGTGATGAAAAAAACAAGGAAGAAAACCTGGCAGAGACATCCAGAGTAAGAAATGGCTTCTGTGTTCATAAAGGAATTTAGCATGGACTTGGGAACTGGACTGAGATAGAGCCAATATCTTGCAAGGATAGATTGACTAGAAGAAAATACATGGGTGAATAGAGTTGATAGCTATAAGCAATGACAATGATAAGATTTTCAATGAGTGCTACCAAATAAAGTATTTAAAAAAACAATGATGTGGACTATCCATAGCTCTTCAGTATTAGGAATCCACACAGAAGGAATTCACTGACCCTTGATTTATTTTTCATTCTGCTGGTCAGATTTTAGAACTTCTAATAGGAGGTCATGACTCTGAGCCTTTTCTCATGCATCTGTAGCAGTATTCAAGTTGGAAAGAAATGTTTTTGAAAGAATTTCTTTTAATGTGAGTATACTAACTACATCGGAGGTTTAACTGTTGGATGTTTGTAATTAATCTCAGGGGAGCCAGTTCTCAGAAACCTATTTTATTTTATCAGCCCTAAATCCATGTAAATGTAAGGAAATGTGTTTATACCTTTGTTTATAATAGCTATAATCTATAAAGGAAATAATGTAAAGGCCTTTCTGACTACTTTGATTGAAAGATAAGATATTTTCTGTGTTGAATTCAGTTTCAAAACTAAAGTCTCTGTGACCAACGAATACTTATTTTGAGGTGTTTTTTTTTTTTTGTTAGTTTTGGTAAATATTTCAAAGAGCTATAGTATATGCAAGACTATGCTATTGTATAAAAAAGAGAATGCTTAGCAAGAAATTTTAATTCACCTTCCATTGAATCTTGGCTTATCATATAAAAAATGGTCATTAGTAATGATTTGTACATGATTGCTTGTATATCCATTATATAGCCACATTTATATTGTTTATTTTATTATCTGATTATACTTGAAACTGTTTCTAGGAACTGCCATCAGTGTTTACCAAGACAGTAGAGAAAGAGAGGGAGGAGGAGAAGGAAATATCTGTAACTAAATTATTGTTCAAAATAGATTCTTAGACTGCTTGTTGCTTTATTGGAACATTTATTTTTCTTTGCTTACACAGTGATGTGTATGGAACTTTGTCTGATTGACTGTTTCAGCCTTTTTCCACATACAACGTATCAACTCACTCATAAATATAAAGCATATTAGATAAGTTGCTCCTATGTGCTTTCTTTACATGTTCTGGTATTATCCTCTTTACTTTTATGTTTTTATTAATAATGTACTTTTTAAATAATCAAATATTTACCTGTGTTGTTAACTGGCATATTGAGATAACTTGGATATTACAAAGATAAAATGGTATTTAATTAAAAATAGCATGGTGTACCCTATGTTTCAAATATTTAGTACTAAATGAAAAGTACACAGTTTTGTTAATAAATAGATGATCTACACAATAGTATCAACATGTTTTTATTCTAATATATAATCATTATACCTGATGAAAAACATTAACATTTTAGACTAAAAATCTAATTAAGAAGGAAGTACAGTATGAAAGCCTGTGGGTTATTTTTTATGGGAAACTGAGGGAGAAACAAAATTCTTTTCTTCAGTGTTAACATAACTGAGTGTCCTATCCATTAGCTTTATGTGTATCAATAGTAATCCATCCACTTTTTCTTATCATTTTGTTTCACAGATATTATAAAGTTTATTTTAATGTGACAGCATTTTGGTAGAGGTATTTTCTTTATTACTATTTCTATATCTCTATTGATATCCTTATATTCTATCCCATAGACCATGGTTCTCAATCTGTGGTCAGGAGACCCCTGAGGAGTCATGACATCAATACAGGAAGTCTGCAAAGCTTGAAGAAATTTTATGATTTAAATCTTGAGATAGGTCTTGATGGTTCATGGCCAAGGTCTGTGACCACAAAAGGTATTTAAAGTGGTCCATGGTGAAGAAAAAGTTGAGAACCACTGCTTTAAACTAACTAAGAAAAAAGCAGGGAACAGTTGCTCTACCTAGCACCCTCTTTTTCAGATTTTGAGTCCCTTTGATTTGTAGAATGTGGTTCCTTCACCTTCAGGTGACTTCATGCTCTTACATTTGTGTTTAGTAAAAATATCTCATTGTGCTTCCCAGATTTACCAGATTTGGGTTCATTGTTAAACCTATAATCTTTTGGCCATCTTCTCTGAAACTCAACCTGGATCACTCCAGATGACTTCAAATCCCTCAAACCAAATCTGTTTTAGCAGCTTAAAATACCCATTCTTTTTCAGGTTCACCAAACAATGTGCTTTTTTACCTAATTTTTAAATTTACAAGAACCAAAGCTGTCTACAATCATTTTAGGTTGCTGACTCTTAATACCTCTGTTCCTCCTCTTCACATTGTTTTTTGACAAACTGTCTGTTTTATTTTCTTCACACTGGATCTCCTTTGTCAACTCTATGTATTTCCTTTTTTTTACAGGAAAAGGAAGATGAGAGGAAAGATTATTATTCATTGTGATCTCAGGCTTCTACTGAAAAACTGAAAAGAACAGAGTATTTATTTGGGTGTAATGTGACAAATATTACAAAGCAATGTAATGGCAGGCTGCCATACATTTGTTTTCTGCTGATTCATAGCTTTCCACACCTTGTATCTCTATTGCACATTTAAAAAGTAAAAAGAAAGAAAAGAATTATTTTAAGTTGTTCCCATAGTTTAGAGCATATTTTACACAGCTGGTCCTTACTAGTAAAATAACTGCAATTTAAAAAAATTCCATAGAGATAGAAGCTATTAAATTCAATTTGATATCAGCCTAAGTAGGTATAGCAAAAGGACAAAGACATGGAATATCTTGAAAGTGGAATCTAAAAATAACATATATAAAGAGCAAAAGTAGGATGTATATTTTCATATTTTTACCAATAAAATGTGCATTGTTTTTGGTCAAAATAAAATAACTATATTCTGTAGTTTGTTGAATATTTAAACAATGTATTTATGTAATATCAACATTGTACAAATTTCTGTATAGAGTATATCTCAACTGATCCTTTAAATGAATTTTTTTAAAAGTGAAAATTAGGTTATCTATGTATCTGACTACCTAACTATAGGGATATATTGCTTCAGACTGATAATTCTCATCTTTTCCTAAAAGATACATTAGATACAAATGAACTGAAATTAAAAAGATTAAGAATATCAAAGAAAGATGAGAGTGATCATATGCCAATAATGAACAATTGGTGGAAACATATCATTTGAAAAGTAATAAAAAAGAACATATTAAAATATTGTGGAGATCTGAATACAAACTGATGGTCTGGGTTTATAACATGCTGGTTTTAATTGCCATTGAAAACAAGAACGTTTGCATAATTGTTGTACCAATATCAAAGATTTAAGAAAGCCAGCATTAAATTTATATTTAAAGAAATGCATCTCCCTACAGTAATATAATCAGATATTTTTTCCATTCATCTACTAGGTAATATAAATAATAAAATATGGATTCATTTCTCCTTTAGAGAAAAAATGTATAAAATTTAACAACACAGTTAGTATTCAGCTGTTTTCTTTATGTGGTATCACAAGGATTTAATCTTAAATACTGATCTGAGACAATAATATTTTTAACTAGAGTAATGCTTGTAGAGTGTAAGCTGCCTAGAATTGTAAACAAATGTTTTAAAACAATCAAAAACAAGGTTACATAACAGCACTGCAGTTTTCTCAATTTCAAAAGGATAAAGCCTAGCATACAAATTCAGTTCCACTTAATTTATCACGTTACTTATTCTATCTAAATGGTCAAACAATTTAAAATATTTATTAAACTATACAAACTGAGAAATTTGTGGCAGATTCTTGAAAGAAATATTGATGATCAGCTTCCTGAATGCCATTTTGAGTTCTTTGTTTCTCATACTATAGATCAGTGGATTCATAATTGGTGGCACTACACAGTAAAACATAGAAATCAGGATATCTGAAGTTGATGGTGAGCTAGATATGGGTCTCAGGTATGCAAAATTACCACTTATCAGAAATAGACAAATAACTATGAGGTGGGGTAAGCAAGTAGAGAAGGCCTTATGCTTTCCATGGCTAGATCGGATCCTCAACACTGCTCTGAAGATCTGAACGTAAGAAAAAGTAATTACAGCAAAATAGGAAAAAGCTAAACTAGAACCAAATGTTAGAGCCCAGACTACTGCAATATATGAGTCAGAGCAAGAGATCTTGAGCAGCTGAGGGATTTCACAAAAGAACTGATTAATGATTCTGGAACAGAAGTTCACTGTAAATAAGTTTCCTGTATAAAGTATTGCATAGAAAAGTCCACCCATCCATGCACTGGTTGCCATTTGGATACAGACAGTTTTGCTCAGTACAGTCTCATAATGCAGTGGATTGCAGATGGCTACATAACGATCATAGGCCATGGCACCCAGGAGAAAGAAATGAGACAGCATGAAGAAAACAAGGAAGAAAACTTGGCAGAGACATCCAGAGTAAGAAATGGCTTCCGTGTTTGTCAAAGAATTCAGCATCGACTTGGGAACTGTGACAGAGATGGAGCCAAGGTCTTGCAAGGATAGATTGACTAAAAAAAAATACATGGGTGAATGGAGCTGATGATTATAAACAATGACAGTGATGATGATGATATTTTCAATGAAGGCTACCATATAAATTATTAAAAAAAGAACAATGTGGAATATTCGTAGCTCCTCAGTATCAGGGAATCCAAGGAGAAGGAATTCACTGAGTCTTGATTTATTCTCCATTCTTCTTTTTAGATTTCAGAATTTGTAACAGGAGATCAAACATAAGATTTGTTTCTCATGTATCTGTGGCAATAGTCAAGAAGGAATGAAATGCTATTCAACAAAGTTCCTTTAATATGGGAGTGCTAGTTTAAAAGCAGAGGTTTATCTATAAGATATTTGTCATTATCCTCAGGAGGCTGATTTCTCAAAAGTCTAGTTTACTTTAGAACTGTGGGGAAATGTGTTAGAAATTTTATTCATGCTTCTTTTTGTCTATATATTCTATTTTCTTATTTGTATAAAAAGATTCATTCGTAAGAAATGAACTGAAATAAAACAGAAAATGTGTAAAGAAATCTAAAAAGATGAGAATTACCACTCTGAAGCTATGTATGTATATAGGTAGGTAGATAAATAGATATCTATATATATATTGTATAGTCATAAATGTTTACTATTTTTAAAATTTACTTAAAGACTCAGTAGAGATAGTGAAATAAACAAGTAAAATGATAAAAAAATATAAATTTTATTTCTTTCATTCCAAATGGGATTTATTCTCTAAGATTGGCCTCTTCATTTAGACTATTTATAAGGCTTCTATGGCCTCACCTCTTTTTCTGGATGTGATGCTCAGGTCCTTTTCTTTATCTTCTTTGTAGGATATGATATTCCCCTTCTTATAGTCATTGTTTGCAACCCCTTTTTAAAATATGAATGCATAATTAATAGGAGATTTTGCAGCCAGATGTTTGGAAGTGTTTAGATTTTTGGTTATCACTATGGAATATTATATACTAATGGCACTTTAGCAACTTCTTGCTGCTCCAATATTGTTAATCAGTTATTCTCTAAAATCCCATTTACTTAAACTCACTTGCTCTAATTTCTTCCTAGCTAAAATTGGACCTCTAATTCTTTAATGTTCCAAGTCAGGTTGGCATTCTTAACTTCATTATTGTTACATAGAGATTGTTTCTATGTAACAATAATTACATAGACAATTCCTCCTTTTCAAGAGAGAAAAAAGGCATAGTCCACATGCCTATTTTATGCTGTGGTTTTCTCTGTATTTTTAATCATTGCATATTTTGCTTAGGATAAGTTTTTATCTCTGCAATATATATATTCTCCCTGTTTTTGTATTTTTCTTCAATAAGGTGGACATTTTTCAGAGGAAACAATTGAGGATCCCCATTTCCCTTTAGTAACCTGACCTCAAGCCTGACCTAAAGGGGTCTAGATAATCTATTTAATCCAAAACTCTTTGAAGCTGTAAGGCAACCGTTTTTTCTACTGTCTTCCCTAGAAAGAAAGGTGGAAAATTGAATAAAAATTGTTCAGTCAAATGATGGTTTCTTGAGTAGGCGGTGGACCATTCTCCTTAAATGATATCAGAAACACCGTCTTTTGCAGCAATGTGTTAATCACCACCTGAACCCACCTATCCAGAAGGCTTTCACTAACCAGGAGAGCAAATATTTAACAAGCAAGTAGTTCAAGGCAAGGCCTTGACAGCCTAAAGACCTTGTCCACTTCCTCAGTTCTAACAAGAATCAAACTGTTCCTAGATAATCAGGCAAGTCTATTCTCCAACCATCTCCAATGGAACTGTTCCATACTTGGACTCAAACTAAAAACAGACCTGAGTGATTTTATCCATCATTTTTAAAATCCATTTTATTCAACAAATTTCTTTGCATGGCCATGTAATCCATAGGAGTTTTAGGAATGATGGGCCAGGAGACACCTCATAGTTGTAATCCTGTCCCAGGCCTCAGCTGCTTTATAGTTCCAGGCTGTGACCACAAGGCTGCATAGGAGAACCCACAGGATATCCCCAGCTCTTTCTGGAATCCAAGGAGGTCCATTAGTTGCTGAGAACATACCATTCAAATAAGTCCTGTTTCTCTGCAAAAAGGAGTAGCCTGAAAAATCTCACAGCCACGAGGGCATGATCTGACCATGGGTTCTTCAAGATCTGATCTCCAAATCCCCCACCAGTTCATGTTGCCTCTGTTTCAACAAGAAAATCATATCCAGAGTGTGATCACCCAGAGTGTGTCCACTGTCCTACATCAAGTCTTAGATGGCCTAGGACAGTGATGGTGAACCTTTTAGACACCGAGTACCCAAATTGCATGTGCATGCATGTCCAAACTGAAAGGTGTGCATATGTGCATGAACATGCACATGTGCTGGTATGCACACATGCATCTGCAGACATGTGTGCATGAATGCTCAAAGATGCACATGTGTGAACATGTACGTGTACATACATGGACACATGCATCGGCATATGCACAAACTGCACGCATGAGCAGCAGAGACCTGAAGACCAGCTGGCCAGTGGGAGGCAAGAGGTAAAATCTTTTTTTTTTTTTTTGTGAGCTTCTCTTTCGTTGTTTGCAGGGAAACAGAAGCTCACGAAAGAAATACCATGGAGACCTGACCTCGGGCCACAGCATGCGTGCCAGCCTAGAGGGCTCTGCATGTGATCTCTGGCATGTGTGCCATAGGTTCGCCATCATGGGCCTAGGATAAGTTCATGGCTGTCATGGTAGCCCAGGCTACCTGGGTGAATTCCCAAGCCATCTTAGGGCCAAACCTAAGGATGGTGTATGGAAATCCCTAAGGTACTTAAACCTGTGGAAGTCCATCACCTACACTGAATGGCCTCCAACAGCTTAGGCAAGGAGGTTGTTATGCAGCACACAGACTGGTACAGCAGCAACACTCCCAACTAATCCGTTGAGCCCAGCTTTAGGAATAGCAACTCACACCCAGAAACTTCTGCAGCATGAAAGCCAGAAGACATTCCCGGATAACAACATCCATGCTTGCTCTCCTGCTCTGAGACCTTTGCTGGTGCCATACCCTAAGCCTGATGAACATATTTCTGAGATGAGAACTTTCCCCCTCTGGCATGAGCCAGGTTACAGTGATGCATGGCAGGTCAGCTTGCTCCTGTCAGATGCAAGAAATCAGGAGCTGGGACAGAATTCAAAAGTACAGCAAGTTTATTCCATGCAACCTATATACAAGAACTTGAATTGAATGGTCAGTGCAAATTAGCATCAGCTAAGAGATAAAGGACTTCAAGGGGAGCTGTACTTAAGTCTCTTTCAGGGGCATAGGGACTGATGATGATCACCATCCAGACTTATGATGCATGCATTTGATCCTGCCCTCAGGCTCAGCTTGGTCATTTCCTTCCCAATGAGATCACGAATATGGGAAGCTTTGTTGTTGACTAATCTGGTATTTATTAACAGTAGCTGAAGGCCTAGGCATCAAATGATGTGTGTAATTAACTGGTATGTTCACACCAGCAGAATACCACAAAGGTAAAGTTGTGGTGAATTAAAAATAGTATAATGTGCACAATGTTTCTTTCGTACACAATGATACTTTCGTACTCAAATACTTTGAAGCTCATTGAATTTGGTGCTCAATGTATTCTGACATGAAATTTTGCCCCAGTACTCATCCTTTGTATGGTACTTGATACACAAGCTAGAACTTATCAGTCTCGGCTGCCTTGCAACTCACTACACTATTCCTTATGGGAGAAATTGCTTGGTTTTCATAGTTTTTGGTACTTATCATGTCTCCTGGAACCAATTAATAATGCATACCCAGGTACCTATAAGAGATGACCAGGCTGAGCCCAAGGCAGAGGTCAAATATGACATCAGTCATGAGTCCCCCACAAGAGATCTAAGTCCAGCCTACCTTGACTTCCTTGAAGTCTTATCTACCATAAATTTGCTTGGGTCATTAGTGGTTCAGATTCTTGTAGAGAGCATAATCATTTGAACTGCCTCAACTTTTTTATTTCTGGTACTTGACAATAGCATTGTGTTCAATACTAAAGAGATTTGTTAATATGGAAATGAGCTACAGAAACTGTCAAACCAATTTTTATTTTGAGATACAAAAATGTCATATGTGGATGAAAATATTTAGCATTTCATACTAATAATCTTATTAAGGAGGAATTAGGAAAACCTATAGTTATGAAAATGTAAATTTCTAATATGAAATTCTTAATAATCCTCCAGGTAACATCCATCAGATTTTGGTTTATTTTATAAAACTATGAATTTGATAAAAATGGCCAGTATATAATTAGATGTATCTCCATTATGTAATGAAAATATTTTGTTTAACTTATTAACTGTGCTGTTATAGTTTTTAAAGCTTAAATGAAGTACCATCACATTATACTAAGGAGGAGGAGAGAAGGAAGAGGAAGAGGAGGAGGAAAAGGAGGAGGAGGAAGAAGCATTTTAAAATCATTTTTTAAATATTTTTTAAATGAACTACCTGCATGCATCATGTTGCCACCAGAAGAAAATCAGAGGTACTCAATGGGGACTCTGAAAGGTCAAGATATTACTTTCCACAAAAAAAATAAAAATAAAAAAATATATAGAGTTCTTATTAAATGGACAAATCCTCTACCTTCACATTTTGTTCCGTATCTTGGCCCTGAAGATATAAAATTATTACTTTTTATAAGGCTTAATTTACTTATCTTAATGTATTTAGATGAGGTATATTTTTATAGTCATGACCTAGGAAAATTCTCAAAACATTTTTTCACATTATTATATGATACAAATTATAATGTTGATTGTTTTTAAAGGAAAAGTTCTATGATACTTTGCATGAATACAAATCTTTGGCTGAACAAATATTTTCTTCAAAAGAAGGTTGGCCATTTACCGGTACTCCTTCATAAATATTGTTTACCCAGATCAAGTCTTTTCTATATTAAATCCACAAGCTAGGTTTCTTAAGTAATTTCAAAGAGAAGGTTATACATACATGAAAGCAATGTTGGTTCTTGCTTTTTTTGCATGCAGGTGTGTGTGTGTGTGTGTGTGTGTGTGTGTGAGTGAGATATTTTTGCAATCAGGGTTTTTCCTATGTTGAAAAAAGATGTTAAATGGCCATGGTGGGATGAAATCTCTAATCATCGCTTTCAGGCCTGTCAGACATTTTATGTTGTT